TCCAACTCCTGGGCTCAAGCGAGTCTCCTGCCTCAGCCTCCCAAGTAGCTGGGACCACAGGCGCCCGCCACAACGCCTGGCCATTTTTTTTTTTTGGTTGCAGCCATCATTGTTGCTTGGCGGGCCCGGGCTGGGGATTCCAACCCGCCACCTTAGGTGTATGTGGCTGGTGCCTTAGCCGCTTGAGCCACAGGCGCCGAACCTACATACATAATCTTATTTGATCCTCCAACTTTTTTTTGTTGTTGAGACAGAGTCTCACTCTGTCACCCTGGATAGAGTGCTGTTTTGTCATAGTTCACAAAACCTCAAACTCTTGGACTCAAGTGATCTTCTTGCCTAAGCCTCCAGTGTAGCTGGGACTATAAGCCCCCACTACAATGTCTCGGCTATTTTTTAAGAGACTGGTTCTCCCTCTTGCTCAGGCTGGTCTCTAACTCCTGAACTCCAGCAGTGCTCTGGCCTCCCAGAGTGCTAGGATTTCAGGGGTGAGCCACCTGGGCTCTGTTATATCCTCCAACCTTTTGAAAAGATTATAATGATCTCTACTTTACAGATTTGAGAACCAAGGTGTTAAAGGTAGTATAGGCGGCTTGGGGCCAGTAGCTCAGCTGTTAAGACACGGGCCACATGCCCCCGGGCTGGTAGGTTCCAACCTGGCCCGAGCCTGCTAAACAAACCAACAAACAAACAAAAAAAAACCCCAGCACTGTGGCGGGCACCTGCAGTCCCAGCTACAAGACTTGTGGACCTTCAAGTGAATCATTTGAGTCCAAGAGTTTGAGGTTACTGTGATCTGTGACGTCATAGCACTCTACTGAGGGTGACATAGTCACTGTCTCAAAAAACAAAAAAAAGTAGTATAAGCAACGCCTGTTTCAAGTTTGCCTAACCAGTAAGCAGCAGCACGGGGGCTTTAATTCTTGACTGCCCACTCCAGAGCTCATCCTCTGAACCCAGGGCCTATGGTTAGAAATGCTGTTTGGGGAAGTTTGCCTAAGTCTCCTGAGTAGCTGGGACTATAGGCGCCCACCACAATGCCCATCTATTTTTAGTGACGGCTATTTTTCCAGTGATGGAAAGTGTAGGAAAAGACCCAGAGAGGGAGACTCTAGAGCAAAACTAACAAGCATAACGAGTATGTTATAGTAGGAATGGAGAAGAAAATACCTACTTTCTGGCACTTCTAAATGCAGCTCAGGGTTAGGTGACTTGCTGAATGGAGAGAATGACTGCGTTCATCGCCATAGAGCACAAAGAACGGTAAGAAATAACTTTTCTTGGGGCCAGGTGCGGTGGCTCAGGCCTGTAATCCTAGCACTCTGGAAGGCCGAGGCAGGTGGATTGCCCAGAGCTCACAGGTTCGAGACCAGTCTGAGCAAGAGCAAGACCCCCCCCCCCAGTCTCTAAAAATACTCAGGCGTTGTGGCTGACCCCTGCAGTCCCAGCTAGTTGGGAAGCTGAGGCAAGAGAATTACTTGAGCCCAAGAGTTAGAGATTGCTGTGAGTGTGACGTCACAGCACTCTACGGAGGGTGACAAAGTGAGACTCTGTCTCCAAAAAATAATAACTGTTCCTTAATTCCCAGTTGGACAGTACGCTTGACTTCTTGACCAACTGCTAGGTTTGCTGGTTTGCCAGAGCGCTTGATCAGTGCGAGTCGCTCATGGTAGTGATAAGCCAGCTCGAAGAGCTGATGAGGTCTTGGAGCGCCCGCGCCCGGCGGCGGCACACGGGGACTACAACTCCCAGGAGGCCCTAGGGCAACACCGGTTTCCGGCGGCACTTGCTTCCGGCCTCTCGGGTGCTGACGCTTTCTTCCGGTCTTGCTGGTCCTCCGGAAGACATTTGGGATGTGCAGGGTGAGCCTCTGGGTTTAGGGGTTCTGAGCTTGAGCGGCGTAGCCCAGTGGCCTCGGTGGCTGGGGACCGCGGGAGGACGCGAAGCCTGATGAGAAGGGGAGGGGCTTAGGGGACCGAGTCCCAGAGGAAACCAGACAGGGAGGTAGGGTGAGGATGCAGGCGGCCCCGGGGGATGGGCTAGGGAGCTGGGTACCGGAACGTTGAGAGGACTCCGCGAGCGCGCTGGGGGTCCGCGATCGGCCGAAGTTAAGAGAGTACCCAGAAGCCCCGACGGGAAGAGAAGATTAGGTTGGGGCTAGGGCTGAGTTTTTAAGGACCGCGGTCGGGATAGCAGGAGAGTCTGCAGAAGGGTCTGGCTGGTGGCTTAGGTACTGCTCTGTCGAAGGGGCTGCTGCTTTGATAGGATCAAAAGAGCTTTGCGGACTTGTTAAGGGAAGGCTGTCGTAGAAGGATTTTGGTAATACTTACTGCATAAGTGAGCTTATGTTGACTACTCACTTTGCCTTTTTCTCCAAAGATGAGGCTGTTGGCATTTGTGGTGTTGGCTCTATTTGCTGTCACTCAAGCAGAGGAAGGAGCCAGGCTTTTGGCCTCCAAATCTCTGTTGAACAGATACGCTGTGGAGGGACGAGACCTAACCTTACAGTACAACATCTACAATGTTGGCTCAAGGTAAGGAGGCGTGGGAGTAACAGATTGGGCCATTTTCTGGATTCATTCTCAAATGGTACATAGTGATTCCTCTTTGGGGGACCGCCATCATCAGGTGTCTTGAGTGAGTGAATATACAACTGGACTTACTTTTGGAAGAGGAGAACAGTCATACACAAGGTGTTTACAAGAAGCCACCTAACACTTTTTGGGTTGGAATAATTTCATAGTAGGGAAGAAGCAAGAATTGTGGAGAAACAAAGAGGGGAAGATGGAGACAGAAAATATACAATTCTTGGATCAGTGCCCATAGCACAGTGGTTACAGCGCCAGCCACATATACTGAGGGTGGTATGTGGCCGGCCCAGACCCGCTAACAACAATGACAACTGCAACAAAAAAATAGTCGAGTGTTGTGGCGGATGCCTGTAGTCTCAGCTACTTCGGAGGCTGAGGCAAGAGAATTGCTTAAGCCAAGAGTTTGAGCTTGCTGTAAGCAGGGATGCCACGGCACTCTACCGAGGATAACATAGTAAAACTCTGTCTCAAAAAGAAAAAGAAAATGTACAATTCCTTGTTACCTCCAGGGTTTAAAATTTTAGCTTCTTTCTTTCATTAGCCTGGGAGCATTTTTTTTTTTTTTTTTTTAGACAGAGCCTCAAGCTGTCCCCCTGGGTAGAGTGCCATGGCATCATGCTCACAGCAACCTCCAACTCCTGGGCTCAAG